TCAAAGGGTACCTCCGGCAGCCACCTTACGATTAATGTCTAACCATGGAGCACAACTATGGTCAGTCATTGTGATAGGGAACTGCAGTGCCTGGAGAAAACCCACAACTTTCAGTAGAGCATTGGAATTCATGGCAATTTGCACTTTTGATTGAAAATGCCGGATCATTCCAGAAAAACTGCATCCAAGGCAAAGTTTGGCAATTGTGACCTAATATTTTAAAAATTTATTTGACGTAAATTAAATTATGGGTTTGATTCTCACTGCATTGCAGACTCGTTACACCTAGTATGTAAATTGTGGAGTTACAAACATTATGTTTAGATATTAGTTTAACCCATTGAGTTGCACCAGTACTCGAGACCATTTCTGCCTATATATAATTACATACTGCAAGACGGCTAATGTCCCACCTATCCTTGGGGTGTGGGTATTACACCTTCCAATTTTTGGTGTATAAATATTATTATATTAAAAATTATTAACACAGTACAGACGTCAACAGTCCATACAGTACAGTTAACAGTTTATAGCATGTATCTACAGTTAATATTGAATGTCACCAGCATTACAGCTTGTATATACTATACAGTATACACTTGACCTATACGACATAGTCTATTGATATATCATATAGTTTATATTGGATTAGTGTTTATATTGTGTGTACTTGATATGTTTGAAATATATTTATTCACCAAATATTTATATAAAAATGAAAAATATATTTCTACTTCACCTTTAATTTTCATTTAGACACGGTCTTCTTTAGTACGACGATCAGATTAGAATAATGACAATACTTGTCAGAATCGATGAAGGATATTTTTGCTCGAAAAGGCGAGAGTCGAAGGAAAAATCAAATAACATCAAATCGAATTTTATATCCAAGTCTGACATTTGAATATCATTGTGCTTTTGGTTTTCCTCGTAGAACGCTCGTAACTGATTTCCGAAGATTTTGGCAAACTCGTACCCAGTCTTCTCGCGGTTACCTTATTTTGAAGTATACTATCTAGCGATTTCCTTACATTCTAGTGGTCGGGACCCGACCGTTGGAATATTATTAATATTTCGTATCTCTAGTCTGTTATTAATAGCGAGCTTAAGCATGTAGGACGGCAACACGATGACGACGGCCAAAACAAATTCCTTCAAATAAATGATAGTAAAGAAAACTTGTCGTATATTATAATTCGTATGAATTTAATACAGTATAAGAAGTTGAAAACATTGGCTTTATGTTTGGGGAGAGTTCTACTGAACGGAATTTAAGTTGCACTTGTTACGTCTTGAAATGCAGGCGTTATACAAAAGACGTAAAAATCTGTGATTTGCCGTTGTAAACAGAACGACGACCACGTCTGAAACTCCCCTGGTACTTTAATTATTTATTTCTTTTCATTGACTTATTGTCCTACATGCTTAAGCTCCCTAATATTTCGTATGAATCTCTAGTCTGTATTCATTTTCAAGCATATAGCGAACCAGAAGAGTTTTAAAAATTCAGTATAATATATGTTTCGTTGACTAGCAAGACATTATGCTAACGCTAAATGACGTTTAAGATATACCTACAGTATACTTTTGTAGTACGTCATTATATCAATGTCTCGTTCTTTTAAAAACTCACTGCGTAGCCGCGTAGCCACTAAAAAAATATACCTACAGTATACTTTAGTAATTAATAATAATAATAATAATAACAATTTATACGTCATTATATCAATGTCTCCTTCTTTCAAAGCCTCACTGCGTAGCCGCGTAGCCACGTAGCCACTAAAAAATATACCTACAATATACTTTAGTAATTACGTCATTATATCAATGTCTCGTTCTTTTAAAAACTGACTGCGTAGCTGCGTAGCCACGTAGCCACTAAAAAATATACCTACAGTATACTTTAGTAATTACGTCATTATATCAATGTCTCGTTCTTTTAAAAACTCACTGCGTAGCCACGTAGCCACTAAAAAATATACCTACAGTATACTTTAGTAATGAATTGCGTCATTATATCAATGTCTCGTTCTTTTAAAAACTCACTGCGTAGCAGTTACGCTTTTGTAATTACGTAATCATTTCATTGCATCGTTCTCGTAAAACTCGAGAACGTAAAACTCACTTTAGTAATTACGCAATCACTTCATTGCCTCGTTCTCGTACTCACTGCGTAGCCACGTAGCCACCGATATTTCTAGCGGATCTTCAAAAGTGGACGGGTATATTCTGCAATCGCTCCAAATCAGCTGAATATAAAGCGGCGAAATTAACGCGTAGGAATGCGAAAGCATCACTGACGAGATCTGGCAGAGCTCTACTTCATCGTATTGAAAACAAGTGGAGTATTGAGGAAATAAAAGTTACGCTTGCGAACGTTGACAAAGTATACAATGATTTAGTCGAAAAACATGAAAAATTCACTGAGCTTGTCGAGGATGATCAAGAATTTGAAGCGGAGGAGCGTTGGTTAGAGGAGTGTCAACAATAATTTCGTTCGTTCGAAGGTCGGGCGAAAAATTAGATTGATGAAACGCAAAAGTCAAGTGATGTAAATCAAAGTTCCAGTCAAGTCAACACAGCACAGGAACCAGCAGAAAATAATAGTGAAATTATGGAAAGTACGCAAATGGAAGCACCGAACGTCACGGAAACGTTGCAAGTGGAAACATTGCAAGTCACGGAAACGGAAATTTCGCAAGTGGAGGCATCAGAAGTCATGGAATCGGGATCAACGCAAATGGAAACATCGGAAGCATCTCAAAATCCCATCGCTCAGAATAATATTGCAGAAATATGTGCGTTTAAAATCGAGAAACCTCGCATGCCTAAATTCACTGGAGATATTAGAGAATATGCAATATTCAAATCAGATTTTAAACATCTTATCGGAACAAAATACAGCAACCGAGATGCAATTACACTTTTACGTACTGCGCTTACTGGAAAACCGTTAGAAATGATTAAATTAGGCATCGGATCAGATTACACTGCTGCCTGGGACTATTTGGACTCTGTGTATGGGGACCCTCAATTTGTGAGTGACACAATAGCCCAAGATATTGCGCGATTCAAACCGTTGAAGAGTGAAGAAGATCATCGTTTCTGCGAGTTGGTGCATTTGGTGCGAAGAAGTTTCAATACCTTGAAAGAAGTTGACCGTCCTCATGATATGGACAATAATCACATGCTAGCGATTATTGAGCAGAGAATGTGTGGTGAAGACCGAAAGACATGGGCACGCCATCTCGAGAAAGAGAAAATCCAACCAAAGTTATCAGATTTAATGGATTGGATGAATGGAGAAATGAAGTCCAGAATGCGAGCAGCTGCACTGTAAAAGCACCGGACAAGTTTCGGGTTAATCAAGTTTCTGGAGGTACCAAAGCAAAGTGTTGGATATGCCCGAGCTCTGACCATTGGGTAGATCAATGTAAGAAGTTCATCTCAATGTCTCCGAATGAGCGTTTGAAGCTAGTCAAGGAGAACCATGCATGTTACAGTTGCCTCAAGAAAGCTGGAAGAGATCATCGTGCAGCCAACTGTAGTCGAAAGCGTCCATGTTCTGAAATGGTCAACAACGCATCATGCAACAAAAACCACCATCCCTTGTTACATGCAGCTACAAACCTTATCGGTATGCTGGCTTCAACAGTAAAGACCAAAGAAGCATTACTACCAGTTGTATCAGCCTTTGTTCTCGGCAACAATGGCAAACGTGAGAAAGCGAACATTCTTATGGACTCTGGTACACAAATCACCCTGGTGAGAAATGATTTGGCGCAGCGATTGAAGCTAAAGGGAAAGGATGTTTTCATCACAATGACGACAGTTGGGGGCAAGAAGAGATGACAACGAAGTTATTCACAGTTCCGATCAGATCAATGGAGAACAACAGTGTTTTCACCGTAAATGCAATTGGAATTCCTTGTATAAGTGGCGAAATCACCGAAGTTGAAGTGGAAGAAATGGAAAAGTATTTTGGCCTGAAAAGACACACATTAAATCGAGGAAGTGGCAAACTGGATGTATTAATTGGTATAGATCATGCTACCATGCATACCGGTGAAATAAAGCAAGTTGGCAATATGGTCGCCCGTCATTCTCCCTTAGGATGGATAGTATTTGGCGCAACTCAAAGTGATCCAGCAGCAAGCAATAAAGTGTTACGAGTTGGACTATCTGGCCCAATCGAGATGAATGAGTTTTGGTCAACCGAGTCCATGGGTGTCGAAGTGCAGTCGTGTTCATGTGAAGGAGAAAAGTTAAGTCAAGCTGAACGACAAGAGGCAAAATTGATCGAAGAATCGTGCATCAAATCAGGGAATCAATAGATTATACCCTATCCATGGAAACGTGATCCGTCCATGCTGCCGGATAACAAGGAACAAGCCATCGAACGTTTGGAAACAACTGAACGGCGATTAAGCAGAAAACCAGAACACGCTAAGGCCTATGGCAAACAGATGAAAGAAATGGAGGATATGAACTTCTCTCGAAAGATTTCACCTAAAGAAGAAAAGGAGTAGGAAGGCCCAGTTCATTACATTAGCCACCATGCCATCATAAGACCAGAGAAAAAAAGCACCCCGTTGCGAATAGTGTACAATTCATCATCTAGTTATCAAGGTCATCGTTTAAGCGATTATTGGCTAAAGGGACCGGACTTGTTAAATAACCTATTTGGGGTAATTCTGCGCTTTCGTGAAAACCCAGTGGCTATGTATGGGGACATCTCGAAGATGTACCATCGGGTACTCATTTCTGAACTGGACCAGCATGTTCACCGTTTTCTGTGGAGGGATATGGAAGTCGATCGTGATCCTGATATCTACGTCAAGACTGTATTGACATTCGGAGATAAGCCAGCTCCTGCGATGGCACAGACTGCGTTAAGGAAAACAGCTAAAGAAAATCAAGATGTGTACCCCGAAGCAGCCAGTTCGCTGAAGAAAAACTCCTATATGGATGACATCTGCGATTCGGTAACAATAGTACAAGAAGCACGTAAACTGACCAAAGATATTGACCAGGTCCTGGAAAGTGGTGGATTCAACGTGAAAGGTTGTATATGAAACGCAGATTTGGACAATAATACTAGTCAACAGGAATGTGAAAAAATGAAGATCTTGCAAGGCGAAAGTTCAGAGAAGATTCTCGGTATAGCATGGAACAACAAGACGGACAGGCTGACCTTCAAGATTAAAGCTGACATGCTGAAGGCAACATCGAGACAAGAGACTAAGCGCACGAAAAGAACAATTTTCAGTTGTATTGCTCAAATATATGATCCTGTTGGTATTGCTGCGGCATTCATAATCAAAGCGAAGATCGGGATGCAACGTTTATAGCAAGGAGGATACGACTGGGATGAAGAGCTGCCTCGTGAAGTTTGTGACGAATGGAAACGAATCTTTGATCAGTTTGAAAGATTAAACGAAGTAACCTTCCCTCGAAGCCTAACACTTAGAAGTGTCTCTGGATAGGCAATTTTGTGCATTTTCTCCGATGCATCACGAGAAGCGTTTGGGACATGCGCATATGTAAGATGGGAAATCGGCGAGAAAAGTTACGATGTCCGCTTTGTGGCAGCCAAGTCAAGAGTGGCACCGCTCAAAGAGTTGTCAATTCCCAGATTAGAGTTACAAGCTGCCGTATCAGCTGCAAGATTGTACAAGTCAATACAGTCGGAATCTCGAATACCTTTTGAAAAAGTGATCTTTTTTACGGACAGTAAAATTGTGTTTATCTGGATTCGAAGTCAGTCTCGAGCGTTTAAACCATTTGTCTCTGTACGTGTCGGTGAGTTTCAAAGTAAAAGTAATCCATGCGAATGGCAACACGTCTCGGGGGAACTCCATGTAGCGACGATGTTTCTCGTGGCATACAAGTCGAAAGTTTGGAAGGACGATGGAAACGAGGCCCCAAATTCTTGTATCAACCTGAAAGCGAATGGCCACTGGATACAACCAACGATGAGAAAGAGACGGTAGATGAAGAAACCAGAAAGTTGCTAGAGTATCGCAAACCCGTTGCCGTCAACGTTGCGAAAGTGCCAACCATATTCAAGATGGGAAAAGTAATCGACTGTAAGAAATTCTCGCGCTGGCCAAAGTTGCTTCGAGTCACTGCCAATGTTCTACGATTCATAAAGAATCTTAGAGCGAAGTGTAAGTCAAGAAATACCGAGGACGTCCATGTTGAAACACGTAGTGGTCCGTTCAACCCCCAAGAGCTTGATGAAGCAGAAACCATTTGGATTCTAGAAGCACAGCAAGAGTTACATGGAAAATTCAAGAAAGGAGAATATTCCAAATTGAGTCCGTTTGTTATCAGTGACGGTGTGATCAGAGTTGGAGGACGCGTTGATGCTCGAGGCTATAGTTTCATACGAGACGAAACACCCTGCATTGGTTTTGATGTATTGATTTCAAGGTAATCAGAATGGCGGACGGTCACGATTTGTTGATTTCACCAAAATATAAAAAATTGTCGTTCGAAAGCATTGATATCAATTCGATCAGTTTGTTAAAGGATCAAGCTGACTTAGTTTATGATGGGAAACGAGTTATATGGTCTCGAGACTTTCGTTCGTTGCAGAATTTTGTCGAAAATGTGATCGGGCTGTCTGGTACATGGAGATCAAGCGGAGGTAAATCTAAACAGTTCACCTACTCAAATTCAAATTTTATTATGACCTGGTATCCTGGCAAACTAAATTCGCTTTTATTTAACGGAAGGGATGGCAAATCTTTTAAGACATGGTTGTTGAGTGTTTTGATCTCAAAATGTGTTAAGCGAACTGATACTGACGAGGGCTGTTTATTTCATGCGTTGGCTGAAACATCAGTCAAACCCAAACAACAATTGGTTAGTGTTAGTCAAATAGTACAAGATCTGACCATGCTTGAGGCTAGTAAAGTATCTACTGGTGGTAATAGTGATAAAGCTATAGATGAGGTATTAACGGCGGATTGTTCAACCCTTGATGAGCTTGAGGATTTTATTGACTGATCTTTTCAAAATGCGAATATTCTGATGCAAAATAATAATACCAATATTTCCCCTGCCCAATCTATTGACAGCTCTACCCCAGTTCGGACGCAAGATGAGGCTAAGTACGTTGGGCATTACAGTGAAACAATTTCGCATGTTCAAGGATAAGATTGAGTCCGATATTGTAGTCTTGATAAATAATCTTTCAGAACAGACTCAAATTATAAATAAAAGTAAACCGATATATGCAAATTATCTGATGAAAATTTGAATTTAAAGTCACGGTTGGCTGAATTAGAAGTTAAAGTACTCTCTGAGGATTTATCGAATAATACAATTGGCTTCAAAGAAAGCATTGATGATGTTGTCATTAATGAGGTTAACCTTCCTAGTAGCAGTGCCACCAGCATTCCTTTAGATTCCATTTCCAAAATTGCCTCCCCCAATGAAGTTAACCATGCTCAAAATATTTTGGAATCAGAGCCTACACCTATATCGAGACCTGCCAACCAAGTTGATGCCGCATCACAGGTTTGTCTAGACATTATAGGTGATAATTCCAACTATTTGTCGAACTGTCGCTGTTCGTGTGGCGTTCTAGCTGCTGCTGTTGAGGGAGTTAAATTAGATATTACTACTCTATCTAACAGAATCGATTCGATTGCAAATGCTAATACCGAATATTCTCATAAAGATAAAGAAATTGATCGTCTTCGGAGTGAACTTTCGATTGAGAAGGCTGAAAAGCTCGAATCTGAGTTGAGTTTATTTGTGAAAGAACGATCCCTTGAAATTGAAAAGTTGAATCTGACCATTGTTTCCCTAGAGAATAAAAATGCATCTACATTTGCTGCTCCGATGAACAATAACAATAGTAAGATTAATAAAAACATTCTTATGAACAAAAACAACAGAAATGGTCACCGAAACAATGGTCATCATAACAACAATGAGTTAAATCAATGCAAATCTCAAAACGTCAGTTTACAACCTTTCATCCCTGCTCCTGTAAATAATAGGGATATTGAAAGTGTGCCGTTTCACGATACTAATAGGGACTTACAAAACAAGGCACTACAAATCAATCAAATTGCAAATATGCCCGAAAAGCAACCTATATCGGATTGGATTGGTTCTTTACCGTTAATAGATATACCCATCCAAGCGAAAAATAACCAGTATATTAATGGAAATACCTCGAACAAGCCTCCTTTTCCCAAGCGCCATCGAATGAAACCACCACCCTATCGAACGAGCCATCGCCACCAATCCCTCGAATGGCTGAGCCATTTGGACTTTGTACACCAACTGTGCAAGAGGTAGGAAATGTGACAACTATTCCTACACGAATTACTGCACGGAATTGCCAAAATCACCATAGACCTTGTGGCTCTAACATACTAAATCTGAAAAATATTGTCATACACAAACCTAATGCCTGTATTACAAAGTCCTCAAAGTCACATTTACCTAATTTCTGCTGTATTAATGCCAGATCGCTGCTTCCAAAAATAGATGAACTCACCCTGTTTTTAAGTTGTCGCCAACCCAGTGTAGTGGCGGTCACTGAATCGTGGTTGAACAGTGACATCGAGGATGGACTCGTTTCGATAAACGGATATAACATTTTTCGTAAAGACCGCTCTGGCCGTCGTGGAGGAGGAATTTGTGTTTATATACCACAGGGCACCTATGTCAAACGTAGGTTGGACTTGGAACATGAAAATTTAGAATGCCTGTGGCTGTGGCTTCGCCCTACCCGCCTTCCCAGACCGCTCTCTGGTATTGCAGTGTGCATAGTCTATCACCCCCTGGTTTACCTGTAGAAAACCACCGCCAACTTAATGAATACTTAGTTTTAACAATAGATTAATTACGCAACCAACATTCCAACTGTGGTCTAGTCCTTCTTGGTGACTTTAACGATTTCGATATATCGAATATATTATCAAGCCATAACCTGAACCAAGTTGTCAAAGTCCCTACAGGAGGAACAGCCATTTTGGATCTGATAATTACGAACCAACCAAACCTGTATGAACCTCCCCAAGTTTTAGCGCCCTTAGGGTCCTCAGACCATAACATTGTAACATGGTCACCCCGTCTAGGGAATACCAATTCTCAAGAACGTACGAAATCTGTCAAACATCGCATCCGGCGCTATCCAAGGTCTGGGGTTGAAGCTTTGGGGAGATGGATCGCTATACATGTCTGGTTTGGCGAGTTAGGGACTAATCAAACGGTAGACGATTTAACATCATCATTCTCATCGCACCTTACAGAATTTATAAGAGCACGCATGAGAAAAAGTGGAGACATGATTCGTGATCAAGTACACATTCTATATCTATTATTTCCGTATGGGCCTGCCGCGCACGAGAGAAACTTCCTGAGCTAACCGCCTCGCCTGACGGCTAGCTCAGTTACGCATTTTCACCGCACACGTTGGGAAAACTTCTCAGCAACAACATAATTGACAAAATCGCTCGCATTTTCCTCCATTGTGTTCAAAGTCACATGAAGAAACTATGGTTTCTCATTGGCTAATTGGTTCAAACAGCTCAGCACTAGGCTCACAACATCCGCAAAGGTTGAGACTTTTCCTCGCGAGGTGAAAAATATCAAACATGATAGATATTTTCCTCAAGGCCTGAAGAGGTCAAATCCTCACGAAAACTATCCGCACACGAGAGAAACTTGCTGAGCCAGTTGCCACGCGAGGCGGTTAGTTTAGCAAGTTGCTCTCGTGTGCGGCAGGCTTTAAAGGTTCGGTCACACGGAGCGACAAGTCGCAGGGGCATGTTGCAGGAACATGTCGCCCGAAACGAGTCACACGAAGCGACAATGCTGGGCGAAAACAAGTCGCACAAGCGCTTACAGGCGCGAGGCGACAATTCATGCGATGAGTCAAAGAACTCCCATGAGGACTTATATTGAAATTGAGCGTGCAAGTAGTCATGGGAATGATATTTTGTGATTGGTCGGAATAATTATTTCCCCGCGACTTGTGAACAGACTAGCTCGCGGCAACGGTTTTTTCCCCGCGACACGTCGCATGAAATCAAATTGATTTCATGCGACATGTCGCGGGGACAATTTTTTGTCCCCGCGACAACGCTTACACATGTGACACACGATGAAATTCGACCCCGCGACATGTCCCTGCAACATGCCCCTGCGACGTGTCGCTCCGTGTGACCGAACCTTAAGCCCCGACATTTGCGGAGGCATGTATAAAGAGCAATGATTTGAGTCAGCTCAATGTACAGTAGCTGGAAATCGGCTTAAATTGCCTTAAATAAGCTGCAGCCTAAATGAATCACGAACAACTCGTATAAACAGTCAAGTTTCATTAAGTAGCAGATTATTTTTGACTAGCTTTTTTACCTCTGAGGCCTGAGCTTATTACGGATAAATTGACCTCGCGGTTTTATTTCGCGTAAAAGGTCAATTTATTAATTCGTAATAAGCTCAGAGGTATAATAGCTAGCTAGTCCAAAATGATCTGTTACTCAATGAAAATTTACTGTTTATACGAGTTGTTGGTCACTCATTTAGACTGCGGCTTAAATCAGTGGACGGTTCCGGCAATTCTAAAATTGAGAAATGCTGAAAGTTGAAAGTTAAATTTGCAGAAAATCTATCTTTCGACTCACATGTTTCTTATCGATAACACAAAATTCCATATCCTTTTCGATGTCATAAATTATTTTTGAAAAATGTCAAAGCTCCTACCTTATTTCTCATAAAAGGGTACCCTTTTTTGAGATTTGTGTGATAAGTAAATTGGTTCGTTTTAATTACCCTTTTATGTCGATTCAAGTTTCAACTTAAAAGCGAAAAAACGGATTATCTAACGAATTTATACAAATCAAATCTCTTAAAAATAACCGTGAAAAGGGTACGATTATCGCTCAACTGCATCGTTTTGTAAAATGATGAAAAAGAGTACCCTCTTTGGTCAACCATATTGTTTTGTAGTAAGACGAAACAGAGTACCCTTTTCCGTCAACTATGTTATTTACATAGTAATATGAAAAAGGGTACCCTTTTTCGTCTTATTATAAAAGATCATATTTTGCAGAAAAGGGTACCCTTTTTCATATTATTATGTAAATAACATAGTTGACCGAAAAGAGTAATCTGTTTCGTCTTACTACAAAACAATATGGTTGACAACCTCGTTCCCATACCCTTTTTCGTCATCATACAAAACGATGCAGTTGAGCGATAATCGTACCCTTTTCAGTTATTTTTATGGGGATTTTATTTGTATAAATTCGTTAGATAATCCGTTTTTTTCGCTTTTAAGTTGAAACTTGGATCGACGTAAAAGGGTAATTAAAACGAACCAATTCACTTATCACACAAATCTCAAAAAAGGGTACCCTTTTATGAGAAATAAGGTAGGACTTTTAAACATTTTTCAAAAATAATTTATAACATCGAAAAGGATATGGAATTTTGTGTTATCGATAAGAAATATGTGAGCCGAAAGACAGTAGATTTGCTGCAAATTTAACTTTCAACTTTCAGAATTTAGTCAATTTTAGAATTTCCGGAATTGTCCACTGATTCTCGTCGAAATATTTCAACAAGCAAACCTAAGCGAACACTAAATTTCAGGGGAATTATCGCTCTAATTGAGGCAACAATATGATGAATTTATCACTGAAGAAAGGCTGCACCGTATAAAATCTACTGGCGATATCGTGCTGCGATTTTTCAAAAACGCAGTTCCCCAAGAGCCAAGTTGAAAGGTCTGGGCCTTAAGGCGGTTTCCCACTAGGCGGAATTTTTCGATCGAATCGAAACTTCTCTTTGTTTCATGAGTTCTCGAGCAGAACTAATTGTAAAACGACAAAGAGAAATTTCGTTTCGGTCGAAAAATTTCGCCTCGTGGAATCAGGCCTTAATGTTCCTGTTAGGTAAGAATTTAAGAATTTTTAATCGATTTATACTAAATTTGCATTTACGCTCGTCGCTGGGGTCAGGGAATAATTTGTGTATGCAATTTTTGTCTGACAGTGAAATGGTAATATGATCTGGAACACATAGCGGTTGTCAATAAAATATAAATTGCATTTATCGGCTATGTAGTCGTGAAATATTAGTAAACACTCTCTAAAACTGTTATCAGTATTTTGCTACAATTTACGGCTACAACATTTAATTGTCGACTGTAAAATGAAATGTTTACTTCAGTATTGGGTCTAGTCGTCTATTTGTTCAATTCAGTGGTCTCACCATAGTTTATAGAATAGATCGTTTGGAAACTCATTAGAATGACAATATAACTCATTATCTATGTTAGTGAACGTTTATTCATAAATACTTTATAACCACTCAGCACAGCATTTTTACATTGGTACTACCAACACTGGCACAGACAGTTTTAGTAACTTTTATTAAAACATCGCTATTGGTTAGTTGGGCAAAAATACAATACACACGTGCATAGGCGTACCGGGCGGGGGGGGGGAGGGGGCGGGGGGCCGGTAGCCCCCCAGTTTTTTGAGCAGTCGGGAAATATTCGATCAACAGTCGGGCAATTTTGGTTTGTTATATAAAGAAATGGGACAAATTCTGTCAATTTTGTCGAAAATTTTTTCAATTTTGTGGGAAATGTATTTTTTTTGGAAAATTTGTGCGATGTTACGAAAAATTTTGATATGGCCTCTATTAACTATGATCTCACCAAGTCCAAGCTTTAAATAGCGCCTTAATATTTCCTTGGTTAAAATTTAACTTAGTGTTTTTGTTTGTGTGTTTCTGCATGCCTATTAGTGTTTACTTCGAAACTTTGAAGAAAACGTTTATTCATCCAGACAAGATTTCTGAAAAAATATTTCTAAATTCAAGACAATTTGCTTCGAATTTTATCCCAGGCCTAGGGTTAAACTAACCGGCATTTGAACAACTGGCCCCTGGAGGGTGACTACCTTACAGGTGTTTGTTGTGGATGAATATTGATGTTGTTGTGGATGACGTCATCATCCTGATCCTAATCCTGACCTTAAAACCTAATCCCAAATGAATTTGATGTCATCATGATGTTACTCAAATTACACAAAGACATTGTAGAAGGCCACATTGTTAAAGTAATTATGATTATGGCTCAATTTCCATATTAACAATCCCAAAATTTAATTTCCATTCCTGACCTTAAAATCAATTCTAGTTCCATTTGCTGCACGAAGTTATATGGAAAGTGACGCATGATTATTCAAGCAAAAGGAGAGAAAACATTTGGGAAAACAAATGGTTCCTTGCTATTTCTCAAATGGCAAGGCATAACATTGGTTCTCCAGATAATTTGAGTGAAGTTTGCAAAGTATAATCACATAATTACTGTGCGGTACAAAGCGTTTTTTTGCGTCACTTGTGTTTTTTTTGGCGGTGAAAGCACGCATAATGCAAGCAATTAGCTCCAACGATTGATGACCAGTGCTCTTCCTCCAAGTGCTTCTGTTATCCAGAAACTATGTCAGCATGGTGAAAAAACCAATGTTCACGCAACGGTAACTCTCCGTGCTACACAGTTTAAGCAAATGATCGAAAATAAGACACTTGGTATCGATGTGCAGCTGAAAAAACCCACCCCATAAAAGATCTACGTTGCAACTGAAACGCCAAGATGATTGAGTTCAATGTGCAGCCTTAAATGGATATTTTTTTGCTATGAAGAACCTGAAATACACAGGAACAGTACGTGCGCAGCCTTTGACGGTACAGAGTTGTGGTTTTATGTAAGTACGGTGATTTTGTAACATTCTAATGTTGTAATGTTCGCTGAAGAACATGGTATGTTATTTAAATATTTGACTTATTTAGTCCGTTTCGTTATTTGCTGTCTAAAATATGGCGTAATTAATGACGAATTATATGATATAGAATTCGATGCTCAGAGCTCAGGAAATGGCATTTCCCGGGTTCAAATTTCAATGATATCATTGAAATATCAGATAATCCATTTCCGTGCCGTTTCTATGCAATATGTAATGAACCTCAGCTGTCATGAGTGCAGAGGTATGCGGAAGTAGAAACTCGAGTAATGTTTATATATTCTGTTCGGTAAAAGATTTGCATATGCCAAGATGTCGCTAGACAACACTGAACAGTGCCGAAAATAGTTGCTTCATATAAAGGAAAATTGAATGCAAATGATATATTAAGATAGCCTAATATCTTCCAAGTGAAAGGAAATAAAGAAAATGAGTTTTTTCCCTTCAACGGAGGCGATAAATTCGTCTGAAAGCAGCCCATTACTTCCGCCGACTGCAGGTAAGTGCGTATTTTATTTTATTTAAAACATACGGGAAACTATCGGACAAACCATCTTTAATAAACCAAGTTAAAGGCTCACATATCGTCTTGGCCGACTTGGGTTCGCGTAATTACATCAGAATAGCTTTCCAGATCGCATTGGTTTCAGGAAGAGTGTCATATAAAGTTGTTATTTCAAAGTGATAATGATACAATCTTGAACCACATTCTAGGCTGGTTTTGAAATCAACGGTGTGGAACATTTTACGGTTTTTCATTAATCTGTCATTTTAGCTAGAATAATTCTCAGATTAAAGCACCATTTGATCAGTGGATTATAGGTATTATAAAATAACAACCACTTCCGCTATACGGTACTGACGGTATTAGCTGTGTATAAGCGGAAACATAATTGTATCGCCTGAGAATTTATATATACCTCATAGGTGATGTAACATCATTATTACGTTAAATTTCCGTCCAACTCACATGTATATCGTTGATTCTACTTTAAAATCTCAAACTCAGTTTCCGTCAACTACGTAACGGCCCCGGCTCAGCGTGATTAAATAAAGTTTTCTATATATCTATCCATGAGTAAATAATGAATTATAACAAATAGAATTCGACGGAAATTGTCCTTGTATCAAGTGTTTGAAATTTCGACGTGTGATTGGTGCATTTTATGGCACAAAAAGCTAGTCATTTATACAATACACAAGATTTTGATATCTTCTTCAGGATCGCGATTATACAAACAGGCTAGATCATCTAAAATTAGCCGGAAAATTGAACAACACCTATGAATCCCCTGCCCCCTTTTTTTGCTTAAACTACAATGTGCAACGATAAAAAAAAACACATTCTGAACATACAAACCGGCTGATTTCTAAAATTAGGGCCTCTTTTGTAACAAACTACATAATAGCTAGGGGCCAATCCGCAGTCCTATTGGTAACTGCTTCAGTAAACTGCATGTCGCCCCCTAAGTTCCTTCTGTCTAAACTGACTATAAGCAAACAAAAGAAAGAATAAATCTAGTTCGTTAAAGTGCCTATGACACGAAATTTTCGCCCCAAATGTTTATGACTTAAAATTACTTAATTATTTTTTTAAAGAATTTTGGTAACTTGCTTCCTTCGCAAGATATTCAACTTTGTTTCATATGCAAATATCACCGGTGTGACATCACATCGCATAATGACATTTTGAACACGCAATATTTCACCTTGATAAATTATTTTTACAAGCAAATACAGAGGGTTAATTACCAGTTACGAAATTAATACATATACAAGGGCAGTTTTTAAGTCTTTTAGATATGTATTCGTCAAGAAAACTATACTTTTCTGAAAACTCATTATGTGATGTGATTTTTAAGTCTTTTAGATACGTATTCGTTAAGAAACTATACTTTTCTGAAAACTCATTATGTGATGTGATGTCACACCGGTGATATTTGCATACGAAACAAAGTTGAAGATCTTGACAAGGGAGTAAGTTACCAAAATTCTATAAAAGAAATTATTAAGTCATTTTAAGTAATCTTTACAATGCAACCATAAACATTTGGGGTGAAATTTCGTGTCATAGGCACTTTAAAAATGTTTTAACAGAACTTTGCCCAGCAAATAAAATATATTAGAATGTTGTGTTATATACAGGGTGTATCAAAATAAACGCAATTCATCTTTTGTGCTTAATAACTTTCGAAATACTATTTCTAGTTAAACGCATTTAGGCTTACTTCAAAGCCTGTTCTTTTCTCTTTCAAACAAACTATTATCCTTGTCTCCAATGCTAGTAATGATT